CCGTCTTCCGAAGACAAATAATGCAATTGAAGGGTGGCATCGTGGATTCGAAATACAAATATCTGTACAAAGCCCTAATATCTGGAAGTTTATTGAAGCGATTCAGCGTAAACAGAGCATCAGAACACTGCAAATTGAACAATATGTGAGTGGTCATTAAGGTGGCCCTGTGCGTAAGAAATATGGGGATTGCGCTGAGGCTTTTCAGAGTAGTTACGAATTATGACAGAAGTAATATTTTGGAATTTTTGAGAGGTGTGGCACATATAAATTACTAATTAGGTACTGCGTGTAAATAGTGTTTTAGAAGATTTTTTCAATTAAATTATTCCAATGAAATCTGTTTTATTCGAAATTTAGAGGTACATACATCATTATCATTTTCAGGCAAATCAATTCAATATTAGCTATTTCAATTTTATGGAAATATTGACAATACTTTATGGTATGAAATAAATTAAGTTTTTACGTTTCATGGTTTTTAATAAATAAATCATCATCGATCAGTTGTAGAGTCGGTGAACTTTCCGTTCGACGAATTGCTGGTCGGTGAATTTTCCAGTCGGTGAATTTTCCGTTCGGTGAATTGCAGTTGGTGAACTTTTCTAGATCCGAATGAAACTTCTCTCTTTTTGTGTCTGTCGCAATTTGGCAGGAGCATAATAACCAGCTTCTGTGATGCGAGATGCTTGTGTTTAGACTTGAACATCGCCATTATGGTTTCATCATATGCTACGCTCCGGTGTACGAGTGCTTCTTCTGCGCTGCAACTGACTGTTAGCTATGTACCACCTATGTAAGCAGTGCCTTCTGCTTTACTGCCTGTGCAATCCAAGTTATATGTACCAGTGATTACATCTCTTGTTCCGTGCCAGTGCGTCTCGTATGGAGACGGTCACTGATCCCCGATGAACGGTGGCTATCGCTTTGTGGTACATGCGGGCTCAAAAAGGGCCTCCTGTTCCCTCCAAGAAGATGACAATTTTATCTCTTATTTATAAGAACGTTTGCGATAGAGAAAAGTACAATCCAAAGAAGAACGACAGAAAAATTAGGACCGGTGCAGTCTGCGCGACTGCTAAATTCCCGCCGATCATCCAGCTCAGAGGAAAAAACTTAAGTCTGTTCCACAGGCATCTATTTTTCCTATCCTGTTGAGTTCTTTTGCAACCAGTGTTGTTTATCCATGTTTGTTTATCGTTCTTACGTTCCATCTGGCAAAGTGTGTCCTTTATTTAGCACTTAACAGGTATTTATTTCCGCTTTGAAGTTTCTCTAGGTCCATATTCGTGGCCGATGAGATGCAGGGGTCGTCCGAAATGATAAATTCTGTACGGTTTCTGTAATCAGAGATTAAATCCGCTTAGTGGGTGATTGGCCTGAAACAGCGTCGCCACAGCTTCCTTAGCCGTCCGTTTCAGTGTTCATCCCGGTCATTCACGCCAACCATTGGGACTAGAGAGAATGCATTGAAGCGAAATTTGACGTAGCAAGCATTTCCTTACGTTGGACATTGCCCGTTTCTCACGACTCAGGCGTAAGGTTGGACTTTGAGGACCATAGGTTGGACTTGCGTTGGAGTTTACTCAGAGTATAATTCTCCCAGGCAAATATGCTCTGAAGATATATGCAATCTGTAAAGCCGCGGATACCACTGCATCTTTAATCGCCCATTTTCGGTTCAACGAAAGGTCTGATGGGCTGAGACGAATGATCTCTGTGGTTTTTCACGGTGCAAACATGTTTGATTCTGTCACGTTAAATCATACTATCATATCCCATTTTATATTTATCTGCTTTCCTTCTTTCCTTACCAGCTAGCACGTACGAATTAAATTGTAGAGAGTATTGATAAAAACGTCATCTTCTGTTCATTGGGGTTTGATCTATGTCAGATGCGTTTCTGAATTAACAATTTTTGCTTCTTCGATTTTTAACTGTTTTTAGTTGTTGGACCGCATTATCTGCCAGTGGACATAGAGCTCGACACTGTTTCCGACCTTGACAAACACACATCCGGTATTTGCCGTAAGTCATAAACAGTTGTCGGGACCTGTGGAGATAAATTGCTTACTCGTTTCGTCGTAGTAATTGGCATCAACGATGGATGTTCGTTAATTCAAAAGGTACGCAGTGCCAGGCTGCTTGCGACATACTTAGTTCGCGGCCGATTGGGGCGCGCGACGTTGGATCAGACGATTCGCGGGAAAATTATCGAGCAAACCAGCTACGGTGAGTTGGGATTGAAGGCAGTGAAACGAACCAGACACGAGTTTTCGTAATGCGTTGCTCGGATGTAGCTTCTTGTTGTGTTATAATGTGATGGAAAGTTTTTTGGTGTTCACCTTTAAATATGTAAAATCTCATGATGTTCTAACTTGTCTCCAGTTTTATTTAAATTTACTTTAATTGCTGAAAACTCGAAAATATGTAAAATCGGTTTATGCGATCAAATAAGTTCGCCAGCCGGGTGATTGATCAGTACCTACGTTTGAGCTCTTGTTTTCTTCAGGCTGATC